AATATGTGCGGAAAGGGACACTTCCATTGGTATTTTAGTCCCCGTAACAAAAATACCAGAGCGTGGCTTGCAATGTTAGCTGTCCTACCTAGAGGGCCTAAATCTTCAAATCCTTCTATTAAATCACATTTTGAGTTATATTCAAGAGCCTTTTTTATGCCCATTTCATCTAATAGGAGGACACACTGTTTCTCATCTTCAGTCATAGATAGTTCCTTAGTTAACTTTGCGACTACTTCTCCGGTGAATCCTGGAGACACGTTTTATACGTTGATCCATTTCCTGATCAAAGTTACACAAGGTAGCTTAAAACCAATATCTCGAAGAAAACGATAAGCACTTGGAGATTTATAGTAAATAGACAGAGCCATATTCTTCTCGTCTTCATTCCATGTTCAATATTTTTTATGCGTAATTTGCATTTTTACAAAAGTCAACGTTTCTCCTGAAATTAATATATTGGAGCTTTCTCAAGATTTCTTTTGTTTAATAGATTTCCCTTTTCTAAATGTTTAAAAATATAAAACCAAAGTATTTTCTTCTTTTCTATAAAACCGGTGTATTTTTAACATCATTAATCATTGTAATTATACGTTTAAAGTAAGTACAGTAAATGTAGTCTGAGTGACTAAATGTACTGCAAGTGTTGATAATAAAAAAAACTCAAATTAACTATTTATAGTGTATTCACGCTTTGGAACCAGAAAAAATAGCAATTTTGAAATGGTGAAAAGTAAAAACTTTATACCCCATAGCTAAATATTTCCTATTACTTTTAATTCAAGCATGTAACAAGTTTGTTCGAAGTCAATAAGATATCAGTTATTGTATAAAAATTCATACGGATAATTTTACATTTTATTCCTTTGACTCAGTCACAAATACCCTAAGTAAATGAGACCTACCTGAGATATAATGAGGTAGCATCTCCAGCAATTCATTTACAGTGTTTTTTCATCCTTCTATTGATAAAACATATTTTACTTCTAGCTCTGTTGAGAACAATTCTTTGTCTTGATAGAGATTTCATCAGTTTTCTCTTCCTCGGGGTTGGGCCATCAAGAGGATGTGGAGCTAGGTTTTTCCCGAAATTGCGGTGTGTGTTAGCGGTGTTCACATGCTTCTTGAATTTGTTTGGTGTTTGCTTGTTCTTGTTCTATGATATTAGTATCATTTATGTTTGTTGCATTCTCTCAGTCATTGTTTGGAGTAAAAACTGCATTACAATTATTATCTAAAGGTGGTGGTTAGGGTGAGTTGATTGGTTGCACTACAAAATGTGGTATTGGTACAGCATTGGGATGGTTTGGTAGCAATCTTTTACTCGTCGGGTTTGTGAATGCCTCATTCTTAAAATGTACCGCACACACTGCTCGGTGCTGTAGTTTATTATCTTCTAATTCTATTAGATCATCTTGGCCACAATTAACAATCCACGCGATGCACCTAAAAAGACATTTTCCAATGGTAGAAGATTGGCGTAAAACACCTTAATCGCACAGTTGTATATATGTTTTTTTTTATTTATTTATTTCTTTTTTGTTATGTCTACCTATGTGTGAAAGCCTATTATAGTATTTAGGGAAAGCTTCAATGTAATAAGGAAACTTTAAAGTGATAATTTATCCCACGAATGTCCTTTCAAGCGACTTGATGGTTTGTTTACTGGTAATAAGGTTTTAACTAAAACAAGTATGAGATCTATACAATTATACAGGGATTTCAAACAAGATGGGGACATATTTTACCTAGTGATTCCTTATGTCAAAATAAATAGGAAATCAAGAGTAACATAATATTATCCTAAATCATTCCGTTACATGTTGTTATTACATGTTGTTGTTATTTATGAGTATAATTATAATATAAGTAAGTAGTTATGTACTAGTAATGTAAGTAATGTAAGGAGTACTAGTTATGTAAGTAAAATCTTGTAAGAGTAACTGGACGTTTGCATTACGCACAATGATAGGATAAAATTTAGCCTTGGAATATATACTGCAGTATGGTAAAACTGAAATGTACTTTTACCAAGTAAACACTCGATTTCTCTATAGGTTTTTTGTGCTATAGTTGCAAGTTGATAAATAGAGCCATTTCCAAAAGTAAGAATCTATTATCAAAAAACGATATTGCGTCATTGAAAGTTACTAATCCACAAGCTCCCATACTCAGAGGCCTACCAAAGCTTCATATAACTGATGTCCCGATTAGGCCCCTTGTGAATTTCATGCCAAGTCCAGCTTACAAAATAGCCAAGAAGTTAGATCAAATAGTTTTAGAAAATAGTCATAGCATAAAAAATAGTCTAGAACTTGTTGATAAAATTAAGAACCATGCTGTCAAAGACAACTACAAATTGGCATCATTTGACATTGTCAATTTGTACACCAATGTACCCGTCCAAGAAACGATCACTCTATTGCACCAAAACCTAATTAAGAACTCAAATCTATCTACAGAGTCAATAAATGAGTTAGTTTCACTCACTAGATTGGTACTAAATCAGAATTACTTCCGTTTCAACAACGACTATTATTCCCAGAAAGAAGGACTGGCAATGGGTTCCCCCCTCTCCAGTATTTTGGCAGAAATTTTTCTCAACAACCTGGAAAATAAACACTTGTTTTCTGATGCCAACCGTTACAGGGAAAAAATTCTGTTTTATTTCCGATATGTAGATGATACTATTGTTTTGTTCAACGGCAACAGCAGACAGTTGTCGTTACTCAACTCCTACTTATGCAATATTCACAACAACATAAAATTTACATTGGAGGAAGAAAGCCATAATCGTCTAAATTTTTTAGACCTCACCATAATAAAACATCAAAATAAGTTGGAGTTCAAAATATTCAGGAAACCAACATGCACTGACCAGACCATTAACTACGAATCCCATCATCCTTACTCACAAAAACTAGCTGCGGACAACAGTTTTGTCTACCGTTTGCTCACAATTCCAATGAATGAACAGGATTATAATGAAGAATTAAATACAATAAAATACATAGCTGTAGCAAATGGTTATCCAAGCATTATTATTGATAAACTCATCTTCAAACATAAAAATAAAACAGGAACTAAAAAACAGAAAAACTACATCTCTGCAAAATATGGCACCTTCATGAGTAACAAATTTAAAAATCTTATGACAAAAAACAATATTACAGTTTCCTTCAGAACAGAGAACAAACTTGGCGCATTGTTAAAAGAGCGCAGTCCTTCATTGACGCAACCCTTAGACAGATCCGGCGTATACAAGATCAATTGTACAGATTGTACTAAATTTTACATCGGCCAGACGGCACGCTCCTTTACTAAACGTTTCAAGGAACATCTCCCAAAAGCGTCAACAGTACACCAGACATCATCTTTTGCAGAACATTTAATTTCTCAAGGCCATAATTATACCAGCATTAGTAACAACATGAATATTTTACATTTCTCTAAAGACAGATTTAAATTAAACACCTTAGAAGAGTTTGAAATTTATAAGGCAGTAACATCCGACCACGAAAATGTGTTAAATGACCAACTAACGTTTTCGTCCAATTTTATATATGACACTGCCATAAGGATACTGGAGAGTGGAAGTGTGTTAGGCAGGACTAGGACCTAACCTGAGGTGATAAGATAACGGACGTACACCACTGCAATGACCACCCGCAGTCTGGACTTAAACTCCGTCGGGTTAGCGTCGTCTGTTGTCGTAACTGATCAGTAAATGTTTCGTGTCCGAAACGTGTTTTGTGTTGTGTGTAAATGTTTATTTATTTTTACTTGTTAAATATGACGCTCTTCATATGAAGAAAGAAGAAGTCCTTGTACCGCCTGATGATGACTCCACATAGGAGTCGAAACTAGTTGCAACTGCAATTAAATGGATTGCTTAATAGCAGGTATTTAAACCTTTTTAATATTATTTGGCAATCCGGAGGCTACATCCACAATTAAAGCATAAATGCATAATCAATCCATAAAACACAATTATTAATAAATGAGAATTCAAACAACAATTCGTTCGCTATTTTATAGTAATTCAGTAGCTCACGCTCTGCTCGGCACCTGCTTTGCTGGGCCAGACGACGAGGACGAGAGAGAGAGCGAACGAAAACAGTGTATGTCGCTCTCTCTCGCACTTCACCGCGTGCTAAACTTGACGCCAGCGCTGACTGGTGGTTCAGTGCAGAACTACAGATCTTTCGCGCGCCAAATTTGAAAATACTGTTAGAATATTGTACATAGGGCGTGTTCTTCTTTATGGTTTGTGTATTCATTGGTAGAAGTCTATAAAGATTGAATCAAAACAAAAAGTGTCTGGATTGAGGTTTTTAAACATTTTAATGAAGGATTTGAGGAGATTGAACATGCACAAGAAGACCTTATTTTCTACCTTCTATACTTAAAAGTAACATTGCAACTGCTTTATTACGTTTCATTGCTATCCCTGGAGTATCTGTGTCGGCGTAATGTGATCAGTGCACCTGTGCAGGTGCCAATCAGAAATGAGGTTAACAGTATGCCAGGTATATGTGAAATGAGCCGAAGGTAACCGTTAACAATCCCGTAATTAGGTGAGTCGGTGCTCAGTCGGTAGGACTTTGTGCCCAAGGCAGGGATCTTGTGGGTTCGGATCCTGGTCACTGCCAAAAACATTTTGATCAGTACAGTTCACCTTTGTACTGTACCGTCTCACCCCTTGCTTTGCTGGATACGTTACACAAGCAGACAGTTAGCCTATGTGGATGGGCAAATGCAAAGTTAAAAGAGGGCGCTAACCTCTTTATAAAAAAAAAAAATAAAAAAAAAAAAAAAAAAAAAAAAAACAATAATTAAACTGTAAATTGTTCCTAACACTATATATTTCTTCAGTTTTTCTCCGGAATACCCTCTTAAAACATACACTGATAACCATCTTATAATAGTTAAATATCTAGCAATTTAATAATATTAATAATAAGGCACTCAAGTGTAACCTAAAGATTTAATACCTTTGACCATTTCTAAACCCAGGGTTTATTGATTTAATTATGCCTACTTCATCTCGCGAACTAAAAGTTCAAGTTATGGTTGTCACACACATACTTAATGGGCATTGAATTATGTGTTGATTGTAAAAGTCATGAATTCCTGAATAGGTGTTAAAGTTACAAATAAATTAGTTCCAGTCAAAGCTTAATACTCTGGTTACTAGGCACGCAGCTTCCCAGCATTTCCACCAAATAATAGGCATAATTAAGTCAATTCATTATTCCCAGGGTTCACAGGGTCTAGTCATTTTATCTCACTAAGTTACTTGTATTTGGTAACAAATCTTAAAAATAACTTAATTAGAGTTGCAAATGGAACTTTTGACTGGAAGACGTTTAGTGCAGAATTCCTTGGAGAGGTTTTGCAGTTTCTCTTCATCTTGAGTGGTCTTTCCTCACCACGGTTGCCGTCCACAATACGGGGTTGTCTGTCTCCACCGTGACCAGACCAGAGTTGTTTTCACTGAACAGGTTGCAAGCGCTGATCAAACCTCCAAACTGCATTTTGTCTTTGTCTGGAAAATATTTAACAGAGCAATCTTTTAAAACTTTAAACAAATACATTCTGGACACAGCTCCGTTATCGTCTTTAGGTGGTTTATGTTTCAGGGATTTTGTTTCTGCCTAATTAATTTGTTGCCATATACAGTAACTCTCGATTATCCATGAGTGAAACTGCATGTCTACACCCAAGGCTACCAAATGCTAGACGACTGTGTGCAATCTCTTTCTGTGTGGTTATTTACAATTTTGAAAAAAATACAAATATTTCACTCACTTAAACCAAAAGTCAATGTCAAAATTAGGCTACTTCAAATAAAACACCAGCAAAATTGCAACATAAAATAGAAGTGACCTCATATCAGTTTTCCATACTCCCCTATACCTCTGTTGGTAATGTTCATATGTTCTTTGTTTTTATTGTTATTGTTTTTTATTTACTTTTTAATTGAGTTTGTCTTGAGTTGTGATGAGAAAGTTTTATGATAATTATTACAATATTAGATTAGTTTGATATAAAATTTGTGTTACTTTATATAAGTATGGTTATCCACAACCTCTGTACTTTCTTGTACGTAATACTTTTGAGTATTGATACAACTAGCCATCCCCAAGTAGAGGCTGTCGCAATTTTTTTATCAAAACCGTTGTAGTTTATGTGAGCCACCGATAGATTGTGCTGATCTAAATTACTGATTTCTGTCGAGTACACAAACTTCATTACCAAGTCAAAATAATGCAATGATTTGGTGAGATGTAGCAACTCTGTTATGATCAATCAACTATGTTAGCAACAAAAAATAAGGTAGAAAATAGAATTTTAGACAGCGCATTCAGTGACTGGCTCACACAACTACGTCCATTTCAATAAAACGTTGGTGACAGCTGGTCCAAATAGATGGGATGTCTACTTCAGTGTCCAATAGTCAATGATGGTTCTACTCAATCCGTGGATGAGCTAGAAGCCACGTTTCCTGAAGTTTCAGATACAAATCACACCAGATCGCTACAACTTTACCTTTGATGTTACAGCGGCCGTCTAGGCCTAGTCTGAAGTAATGAGTAAAACAGTTCTGATCTAAAACTAACTTTCCAAAGATATTATGAAGGTGACATTTAAAATTGTTTAAACTCACTCAGGTTCCACTTTAATCCTGTAGTAGTAACCGTACAAGGCTCTCCTAAAGGTATAAGGCCACAATGCGCTTTAGAGACCACCAAAGACTGAGGCACTTGAATATGATGCAGCCCTGGTGCTAACAACCATGTCAACGAGTTAGACCCTGCAAAGAATAAACACTTTAAACAATACTCCATGTTGCAGAAAACTATTAATTAAGAGAACACATTACTATTTTTAACCTGTTGGTACGTAAAATTCATTTTCACAATTAAATATGTATCCTGAGTTGAAAAAAAAAACACTAGGCCTAATCAAAAATAATATCTTTAATTTTATTTTTCTTGCAAGACATTTATTTATTAAATTTATGATCAGACTATGAGAATGGAATTTTATGGGGTTAACGTTAGTTTTTTTCCTGATTTAGACTCAAAATACAAAATTTTGCAACTTCTTCCTTAATTAATTATTTTGTCAAGCTTACAAAAAAATATAATAATTAGCATACTGAAGCTTTAGAATGGTTGTAGAGAAAATTTTGAAGAAACTGTAAATTTTGTAATTCCTATGTTATTCTTACAGAAAATAAGTCAATTGTTGTAGTTTTCTTGTTTATGGATACATTTTAATCAAATGTTGCAAATTTATTGATTTCATACTGAGCTATTAACATTTATTAACAGTAAAAATAAACTTTATTAGGCCTACTTTCCTTGTAGCCAGGGCCGGATTTAGCATTTTTGCGCCCCTAGGCCCAAATAATTTTCCGCGCCCTAGTCTGGTCACAGTTAGTTACTTTCCTTCAAACCTTTATTAAAAACTATACCATGCCCATAGGCCTAAGTTAATTGCTTCACTCCTCGTTGGAATAATTGCAAGTTTTTTTGAAGAATTGACTTGTTTAGCCTTAACAAAATGCCGTCTTAAACACTTTTTGCAATTTTATGCTTTTAATAAATGCTCACGTTTGTGGCCGTGGGACTGAAACAAAACAACTCAACCCACCAAGCATTCCTGAAAAAAATATGGCCATTGATACCAATTCCAGGCCCAAAACATGAACTCCATACAGTATGTGATACCATAGATTAAACATACTCCTTTAGTAGATTTGTCATCATTTTGTATTAGCTGAAAACAATTCTTGTTATTTAAGGCGTATATTTTATCTATTTTTAAACCTAGTTTATCCAAAATAAAACTATATAATCATCAAAAATAGATCGTCTTCTGTTTATATTACAAGAAATTAAAACACACGTCATAGAACTAATCCTAAAATAATAGAAACAAAATTACGTCAAAACTAACGTCCAGTGTCACCAACATGAGCTAGACATGAACACATGTTGAATTAACAATGTCATAAGAAGTCGACTTGAGTTATATTTAATCTATGATGGTCGTACTGCATCTAGGTTATATTTCCAAAGCAAAACAGAGCAATAATCCGGCCAACCATACTAATCCTTAGGTCTGAGGAAAAAATGACAGCATTAATGGTGCTTTGGAGGGTACCTATTGAATTTTTCTATAATCCAATGCAAACCGAGATTAATATTTTTTTGTTCATTTTAAAGGTAAATTCATCGTTGTTTTAATCAACACAACTTATTATATATTTTAACTTGATCCTGCAGATTGTTGTAATGTAAACTAATCAAAAGATTAGTTAATAACTTTTTTTGGTGAGGTGAGGGTGGTAACAATGTCTAACACGCATGCGCCCCTAATCACTCTGATCAGTAGTGCCGAGCCCGAGCCAGCATTGTGGCAATGCATTGGCGATGCGAACCCCTTGGGCGCTCGTCAACGTCAACATCCCTACAGCCTACTCCCGTATAACCAATGTTCGTTACCAATTTTGTAACAAAATTGATGCGTAATTCTGAAAAAAAAATTAAATTTCCCAACAATTATTTCTTTTTATGAACTTCAGAATCACAATGTTTTGGAGTTTTTTTTTATCAACTATGACTATTTATTTTTATTTTTAGATACAGCCTATCTATAAAAAATTACTCTCGGCCGTGCGCCCTCTGGGACCTTGCGCCCATAGGCCCGGGCCTATTGGGAAATCCGGCCCTGCTTGTAGCAGCAAACGTAATTACTTATTGAACCTAATATTATTTTAAAAGGGAATAGATCTGACATGTTTAGGGGAATATTTAATTCAAAATCCAATCAGGCAAATGGAAATTTGTTTATTCAGCAGTTTTGCTGTCGGCAAAGGTATTGTTAAAATAATAATAAACAGCTAAAACGCGTAAAAGGATGCAAGCTTAAGTTCGAACTCAGTAATAAACAATTTAAGTTATAACAGTACAAGTGTACAACCCTCTATACAAATTAATAGGCTTATATGACGGAAAATGTGTGTGTATTAAAAAAACCCTTACCTACCCAATAAATAAAGCCGGTGTTGATGAGGTTCATAAAGAGTGTTCAGATTAGACATGATGTGATCTAGTCTACCAGAGTTATCTACAATCGTTATCACACTATCTATCTGTAACAAGCAATTATATCATGTGAAAAACAAACAGCCACATCCACATCCATAACTTCAGCAATAACTATCGTTACATTTTCTTTTGGCTAACTTGTTTCAGTACCACCCCTAGTGGGTGTTTGGCTTTTACCTGTGTTCTTTTTCTTCCTTAGATTTATAATATTTTTTCATAGCCTACACCATGTGGAAGGCATTCTCAGCATTTTAAAAAGGTTTACATAAATCTAACATTATTTAGTTGCTGTCCGAAAGCCTTGATAATCTTCTAGAATCCTTTCCAAGATCAAACTTAAGTTAGTGGTAAGTTTGTGGCTCGGTTGGTAACGGGACGGACTACAGATCCAAGACAGTGATGCCAGTGGTATAGTCGTGATGTCCAGTGTGGGAACGCTCACCTCCTTTGTCTAAAGCCGGGTTTACACGATGCCAGTAGGTGAGACAATTATCAGAAGACCACTGACTAAAACCACTCAGTTATTTGTAGGTTTAAAACTATTTCAAAATTTTAACTTTACCTCACCACCAGTCTCTTTCCAAATCTCCTCCAGGGCTTTGGTAAAGTCGGTTTTATCTTGGTCAGGTGTCTTTAACATTTTTACGTTGTTCTCCAGACATCTCTTAATCGTTTCTGGTTTCACTGAGTCAAAATCCCCAGAAATAAGGTCCGGATGTATTTTTTTTAGAGTGTGGTCTCTACTGGAGATACTTGCAACAAACTCATACCATCTGTCTGTGCCTCCGTCAGCTGTGGCTCGGAAACTTGCTGAAAGACAAGAAACAAAATTATTAAAACAACCCGAAAGTATAGGCAATACTTTAAAGACAAACTATGCAATTTTGATGATTGGTCATTGGAAATGACAGGTCATTTCACCTGAAGCAAGTGTTGCGAGGCAAAATGTTTCGCTGGGTACGAGCGCCCCATGTATTTCAATGGGAGGCCGCACACTGATCAAGCAAACATTGTGAGGCGCCTCGCAAAGAAATAGTGGCTTTCAAAATTCAATTGACCTTTTGTTGTTTAAAAAATAAATCTTCTTTAAAAAATGTATTTTGATGTTTCATTACAACTTAAAAATTATATTTTTTTAATTTCCATTTAACATAATATATTGTTGTTAAATTTTTCTTGCTACCACTTTGATAGTCATACAGCCCATGCAAAGTAGTGGATAATTAAAAAACAACCCAGGTTATTTAGTTCATTATTTATAACCATCACAACATTATCTAATATTACAGTAATTTCTAACTAGGCCTATAGTCCTGTAATTCTCTGGACACTTGTATATATAGCGTTATTCCTTAGGTCAAGACAAACACATTTCACCATAGGAACATGGGTCTATGGGGTCTAGTTTACCGACTGTCGTTACTGTATTTATGTGTTTTTTACAAAAAACCTAATAACTCCTAAACGGTTTGAGATACAGCTTTGATTTTTGCAAAAATTTTAATCTTATTAAGACCTATTAATGTTAGAATTTATAGTAAAAAACGATTAACCGTTTCAAAATGGCGGTCATTTAAAAAAAATGATGTCAAATTTCACGAAAACCGTTAACATTACAAAAAAGTCGCAAGGGACAAAAAGTTTGTAAATTTTATGTTGTTTTTAATGATACCTTATTTGTTAAGATTGAATAAATAAAATGTAATGCATTTAGGTTATTGAAACTATTTAAGAGTCCTTGGAGGCTAGCGGCCATCTTGGATAATTTCAAACAACTGCTGAAGAGTTATTTATAGTCCAATTATATTTTTTCAAACATCAAAGTGATTATAGGCTAATTTAGATGTCTAGTAACTAGTAAACTGTGAGATTATAAATGTTCTTTGTAGTTTTTTGATTGTTCTCCAAGGGAATCCCTGGTAACTAACGGCCCTCTTGGATTTGTTCGCCATAAGTGCAATGTAAATTTGATTAATTTCAAACAGCCCCTGAAGAGTTATTTACCATCTCAAAATATCTTTTTTAAATACCTACCAGAGTGATTAGCCTATAATTTAAATATCTAGTAGCCTACTGTGAGAATAGAAATTTTCTTTTTAGTTTTTTACCTAATTGTTTTACGAGCTAGAATGTCTCTGAGGCTCCAAGGTCTCTTAACTTCTTACCAACTTAACTGAACTCTTGGTTTGTAAACAAATGTTTCTGGTATCAATCTAACTTAGGCCTACTTCCGGTAGTGTCGATTGCACTCAGTTCAAGAACTTGCTGTTGAGAGCACAAAGGTAAAGCCATAAGACTTACTACCTAGCAAAGCTGACTTATTATACTTATTTTGTAGAGAGGAAGAACATTTTCATCTAAATGAATTAGTATAATAAAATAAAAGATTCTTTAAACAAGAGTTAAAAGTATTTACTCAAATTGACTTGTCAAGGAGGGTTTAGAGCACATCCTTGTTTATGGACATATTAACTTATTATTACCATATTACCAATTGAGATGGGGACGCACTTATGTGCATATTCTAACCCAAATATGAGTGTAGATTGAAGTGTGATGATCCATGTAGGCTACCTTTTATTACTGGCTAAGATCATCACATTTATTAGTCAGGATCATTTATTTAAAGCCCAATCATCAGGAACAGCTGGGTCTAGTTTTGAAACTTCAAAAAGCTACAGACCTTTCTCAGGATTAAACCGGCAATCTTTTAATTGTTAGGCGGGCGCTAAGCTATAACCACTCAGCTTTCCAGCTTGTTACATAACCAGATTAGGCCTACTAACCTCCATTCCAGATGTCCAACATATATCTCTTGGGAAGTGTTATAGGTTGGTTTAGAACCAATACAGCAAAACGACCTATATCAATGCAATTCTTTCCATCAAACCAGGTCAAAGCTTTCCATAATGTTGCCATTCTTCGTTTAGCAAGAATTACCTGAAACAGTTGAACAATTTTAATAACTGCTTCTTCAACAACTGACTTCTTTAATGATGATTCTAAAGTGTATTTAAGCCTTTGCAAAGATCCTAAAATGTATATCTTACTAAACTTTAAGTAAGTTTTATCTTTATACAACTAGCAAATAGGATTAATTAAAGTAACTTAGAACCCCTGTAAACCGAATTTGAGCTAACCAAAATGGTTTCATAAAATAATACAGGGCTGTAAAATGCTTTAGTAACCTCAGTTGTTTAGTTTAAAGTATTTTCTAACCCATTGTAACATTTTTGTAGGTGAAATAACTTATAAGTTAACTTTTTTCGATTAATCGGGGTTCTACTGTAGACGAGGCTATGTTGCCGACTTTACAATTACATTGGATAACTTGTCTACTCACAAGGCCTAGGACCTGACCCTGACCTAATCACAATAAGTCACATGCCCTATTCCCTAACCACTTGAACTGCCACACCTCAAAAAATATAAATGACAATCACACAATTTTTCTACAGCAAAGACTGGAGTAACTGTACAAAATCTATCATTGATATAAGTAATAGTTATTAATGCTCAATGAGCTTTGTCTGCAATCTATTTCGTTTTAATCCCAGAGGATATTAAAACTAGCCTAGGCCTAAGTTATGAACCGAGATTCAGAACTAGTCCAAAATTATTAAAAATTTTAATCTTACCTATTTGAATCCTCAAAATTATGTAGGTTAGGTGTAGTGTATGATTAAAATAATATTATTACGTAACTGTAGAAATCATCATATAATATTATAACACAAGGTTTTCTCCATCTCCACAACTATATGGATAGGTTATGTTTGTGTATTTTTGTTTTTGTTTGCTAATGTTGATTGTTGATATGTTGACGTTCCTTTCTTTCATTTTGCATTTTTTCAGTTTTCTTCTCTTTCATGAATTTTTTTTCTTCTTGGCTAAAAGGTGACCTGGATCTTTTACTCATGAAGCTGTGATGTAATGTTCACTGTTGAAGTTAGTTTAAATGAGCAAGAAAACTCGATTGATTTACATATTTATTTGAACATTTATTTTAACAATTACAGTTTTGTTATTGGAAAATGTAAAATTGACGTGCACGCGTTTTGACACCTTACTTACATCTCTTAACAGAACCAAAATGCACGCCATGGGGGTATATTTTGCTTGTTTGAAAGGGTGTTCATCTTGTAATTCGATTCTACTTTGTCCTCTAGTTCTTCGATTCCCGACGCAACTTAATTACAAGTGATCAGAACTTAAATACATTACATAAAAGGTGTATTAGATGATATCTTTTTCAGTGTCTTATTGATATGGTAGTTTGGTAGTTTGACTGTAACCAAGGCCGCCTTTAACTACAGGAGAATTGGCAACATCGCAAGTGGTGTTGTTCAGTGACAGACGACCCATAAGATAACATGGCAGACAGGTGACATCAGCTCATTAATTCGCACTTTATTGATTTAATTTTTAATTTATGAACATAAATTTATTAAAATATTGAAAATTAAACATACAGAATTGAAAATTGAAATAATATGAATTAAAATCTATATCAGTAAATTTTTAAGCGTAGTCAATATTGTCATAGTCCAGTAATCAATCTTTCGTAAATACACAAATACCATTAGTTGCTTCCAAAAAAATCAGCTGTTACAACACCACTTGCGACGTTGCCAGTTCGAAGGCCGCGGCCTGGAGTTAAAGGCGGCCGTGCTGTAAACCTATGTACATTTTAGTCAGCATGAGTGGCATCTTCAGAAAGTCTTCTTATATTATCTTCAGTAATGACAGGTGGTCGGTTAGTCGATGGTAATGACTTACACTAATCATTTAATTACCATATTTAAGATATAAAACACAAATTCCATAAAATAACAATTTAATTTTTGTTTACACAATCTACAGAAATCAGTAATTAACATCAGTCAATACCCTAACAGCACCCGATATCCATTTGAATATTCAAAGTGGTTGAAATATGTCTAAAGATAACTACATGTAATTAAATATATTTTTAAAATATCTTATCTAAGAAATCTGTAAAATATCTGTTAAGATATTCTTTAGATATTTAATAGATATTAAACGTTTCACAGTAGATATTTATATAATGTTTAGATTCAATATCCCAAAACTATGTAAATATCAATCCCACATTGACGATTGGAGATTGATTATAAAGACGATAAATGCTGCTAAGTGCATTATTGTTTTGTCAATAATATTGAATGTTACAGTTAGCCTTATTAAAACACAGGATCTAAAGTCATCCAACAAATCAACAAACACTTATCAAACTAAAACTTAATTGTAGTTTTAACGTCGAATTATAGTATATGTTGTCTCCGTTACCCTATCTGTGCTACGCGTTAAAAATATCAAATAGTTGTAATCAGCCCAAAGTGGACAATAAATTGAATTAGCGATGTTTACGAGAATGACTACACTTTTTCAAAGGGAGTGCTTCATTAAAGTAACATTATTTCAGTCAGAAGGGAAGCAATGTGCTTTACACCAACCGAACCAGGTAATATATAATAACACAAGGCTCCCACGATCCAAAAGGTGTAAGAAACCCCAAAGTACTGTTAAGCCGTTCCGTTTAAAACATTATACCATTGACTTTGAATGTATGATTAAACACCTTTTTAAAATGATAACTAGCTGTGTGCCCGTTCTACGCACGGTGGCAGTTAATTAATCTATATTCATATATCAGTATTCTCTCCAATCCCAGGAAAACAATTAATTTAACAGCTTGACGCCTAAACAGAATCATAGTATCAAATAGGCCTATATTTAAGTATTGCGACCATTGCAAGCTGTTGGCTCCTCTTTTACCGCTTGAAAACTACTAACAAATCAACAATCACAGTTAGCTGAGAGGTAAGGTAAGAGGCTCTTAAGTTGAGGGTAGCCTGCTCGAGGCCTGTCCGGGTATAAAACTTTTTTTCTAGTTGTTTTTTCTAAAATTGTTTATATGAACTATTTAATCAAAATACTCAACTGATAAAAGTGCTTTTCAGACTAAATCTTTATTATTTTGTGTTTTTACGTATTTATTACATATTTTTGTGATCTGGCAGCAGATATCCGTATAATATTCAGTTTTAGAAGCTCTTAAGATATTGATATTAAAATCTAATATCTGTTGAAAGTAGAAATTAGTGACATTTAAACTTCTTCACAATATCTAACAAACATAAATATCTGGATATTAATAATCTATATATATCTTGAATATCCAAGTGAAATGTTTATAAGATATTCTATAGATACCCAATTGTGCTGTCTGGGTAGTCTATTAAATAAGTCAATTTTATTCTAAAACTGGCTACATCCAGCTAAAACGGGACTGGGATGTCTACATCCCTTAGCCAAATGTTAGAAATAAATCCATGCTATTAGTTAAACATATTTAGCGATAAAAAACGACACGACTTAAAGAGTATATATTCTGTAGGACTTTTTAAACAAACATCCTCGGTTGAAATGTATTGAATTTCCCTGGTTTTGGTGTACCGAACTTGAAATGAAACACCATTAAGAAACTACTATAATCTGGAAAATCATGAGATGTTAAACATACGGTAAGTCGAAGATTGCTAGGAAAACTAAGCTAAGCATAAGTAGGTATTATCATGACGTTTGTTAAGTTAGAATGAAACTGACTACTTATTAACGTATACAAAGCTATAAAGACTGGAAACCCCAAATTGTTATAATCATATATTATTCTTCCACAGTGGTTTTTCATTCTCCTACTATTTTGAAGGTAATTTAGGTAAAAAGGAGAATCCTTATTTTATCTGCGCTGCGCAATAGCTTTCTTTCTCGACTTGGAGATTTACACGTGATATAGACACGTGAAAATATCTGTGAACCAGTCCATTGAAACAAACCAGTTTTCTGTCAAGAACCAGTCGTACTTTGGCAACAAGGAAAGTATTTAGTATTTCTTCGAAAAGGGCTTTGCACCCAAAACGTACGTCAGAAGGATTGTGAAAATTTGCGAAATTAGATTGAGTAGAAACACAACGTAAACCCCACATCGATGCGTAAACCAGTTTAGCAACACCACAGTTGAATTGCTGGAGAATCGATAAACACAGCAGTAATTATGGAAGATTGGAAAGTTATGATAAACTCACGATAATTATTTGCACTATAATTAATTGTTAGTAGTGAGTAACCAATTGGAGTAAACATTCTGTGATATTGACAAAAAGTGTACTGTATTAAGTACCTTAGGTGTCGTGTATGCAAGATAAACCTTGCAAATGGGTCTACCTTCTCACAGAGCTTGAGAATCTGCCAAGGAAAATTGTACTCTGCGATAGACTATCCTACAAACCTGATGAAAACTATAAGAAGCCTGTTTTTACGAGGTGATGTCCGGTCATGTCCAATCGAAGTGATATAAACTAAAATTTATATATTTATGAGTTATTCATCATACATTTTCCTGTTAATTATCTATTTATAACTGCATATTTATTTATTAATTTAAGATTATAAGTATCGTAATCATTTTTGTAATGGTCTTTGGCCGTTGGAATGTAAATAAAATAAAATAAAATGTATTCATTTATTAGCAGCACAACTTTACTTGTCAACAAATAATCATGGAGCAAGTGTTTTTAGAGTACCCATGGCCACGTTACAAATAAATATTTATCAACAAATAATATTTAAAATTTCGAATTTTTTAATTGTGCACGTAGTATTCACTTATATTTTTAAAGTAAGTGCTGATCCCAATTGATCTGGGCTCGTGTGCCGGCGCCGCGCCGTCACCTTACATTGATGATGACCGACCATTTGTGATCTGTAAATATTAGTTACTTAATTGTTTTCATATTCAATTTTATGTATGAAGTGTTGTTTAAATTTTATTGACATAACCAAACCAGTTTTCTCTGGTAAAAGATCACGACGGAAGGTTAAAAGATAAAAAGGTAAAAAAAGGACACTACATGTTAAGGATTGTCTGACGAAGTACGTCCTAGCCATTATTTGTCATAAATATAGTAAGTTGGTATTTGACTCAACACTTTGGCTCAATTTGAATACGTCCATTTGTATTCTAAAAGTGGCTAAATATTTAGAAAGCGAATGGAACGTCTACTTCTCTTCACACTTAATAATGGTTACCCTTTAAAGTCCATCGATGACGTAATGACCAAGCATAATCAAAGCTTATTGGTTGACACTAGGGCAGCCTACAAGACGTTGACTCCCAGTTCAAGGTCGAAGCCATGACCTTCCCTTCTGTTCGTTGATCGAGCGTCCATTGTCACATTATCCCAGGACCACGACGTGTCAGTTCTTGCCACGGTGTCATTTTCCTGGTTTTATTTAGTTTTTCGGCGATGCGTCGGTCGCCTTCCCAAGGACGTGAAATCACCAGCAGGATGTCAAGAAAAACACTGCGCAGTATCTGCAAAGAGGAAACGGAAGAAGCCATAGAGATCTGTTATATGCGGATCAGCTGTAAAATACACGTTGAGGAGGAAATGAAAATAGAAAAGTTTCTTTATTGGTGGCAGGATTTTTTGAATTTCTGAAAAACTTTTAGGAGGGGTTTAGATACCTTCTGCTTTCCCTGAGGAGTACGGTAAAGGAAATACTTAACTTTTCTAGCATTTTAGTTGCGGAAATTGGAAGAGTCTTAGTTAATGTTGGTCTTATGCTTCTGCTTTAGGCATACAAGTCACCATTGAC